GACATTGAGGGTAGGTATGAGTAGACCCAAACATGTTCACTTAGTTAATTAAATTCTTTTTTCTTTTGGCCATACCACAGGGCATGCGGGATCTTAGTTCCCTGACCAGGGATCGAACGCGCCCCCTGCAGAGGAAGCGAGGAGTCCTAACCACTGGATCTCCAGGGAAGTCCCAGTTCATTTAATTTCTATTTGGAACTTTACCTCCAAACCTATGATTTTCTTCATACAAACCACCAAAATTAAAGTCTAACAAAATCTTGGCTGTCAGGGCCATATATAGATAACTCTAAATATCAGTGATTCTCAGTTGGGAGCAGAGAAAGGAGAGGCTAGAAACTCTGACACACTGAGGTGGGTTGGGGTTAGAGTGTAGGAGAACATGGCGGTGAGGGAGAGTGGGGAGTGCCACTTTTATGTTTATCAGAAGGGGGCCTAAGTTACACCTTATTGAGAAACTTGCTTTTAAGTTATGAAAAATTCATCTCCAACATTATTATTTTGTGGTCGTACTGATGTAACAAAACACATGAGTATTTTCCAACTGTAATAATTACAGGCGATCTATTTGCAAAACTGAAAAACTGTTGAATTCCTAATTTTTATCTAGTATTTGCAAATACTTGGCTCATAAGATTCTTTCTTATTGAATTTTTAAGCACAAGTACTATGTTTTTAGTGAGCTAGTATAGTCACGCACTCAAGCTAGAAGGGAGAGCAGCTCCTCATTTTACAGAAGAGGAAACAGAGTGAACTGGGAGGCACGATAACAGCTTTAAAATTCCCTGCCTGGTCCCTCCTCATTTCTCAAAGGGTGTTAAAATAAATTAATTAAATACATAAAGTATTTTGAGAGAGGTACAATTCATTTAGCCCATCATGGTAGTATCGTAGAACGTTCAGGTTACTTAAACTAATTATCTATTTTTACCAGTAAAAACCAATTCATCATGCAGGCAACTTTTCTCTTGCTTGAGGCGAATGATCTCTTCTCGTTGTCCATTATTTTCTGTTGTCTTTTCATTTAGATCCTCTTCACAAATAGAAGGGAAAAAAAAGTCCTCAAATAAATACTAGTTCCTAGAAGAATATACACTGTGAATACCTCTCATGTCCTCAGCACCCGCTTCCAAATAATATGAAGTCCTGTTAGATCTACAGCCAAAATATGTCCCTCATCTAACATCTCACTGCACCCCCAGCGGTGACCCTGGCCAAGGCTTCCACTGTCTCCCTGTTCGAACCCTGCCTCTCCCTTTGCAGCCTACTGTCCACAGAGCAATCAGGGCCATCTGCTGGCATCACTTCTCTGTTAAAAGCCCTTGTGCTACACTTAGGAGGAAATCCAAACTCATTGCCTTAAGGCCTGCACAGCCTGGCCCTGCCCTTTCAATCTGTTCCTTACACTGGCCCCAACCTCAAAACCCACACCAGGGCTTTTGTATTTGCTGTTTCTTCTGCCTGGAAGGTCCTGGCCCAGATCTTTGCACGACTGGTTCTTCCCATCATCCAAGTTTCAGCTCTAATGTTCTCTTCAAAGACGCCTTCCCAGTGCACCCAAACCAAATGAGTCTCTTTCCTTCACTCTCTACTCCACCATCCATGATGCTGCGTTTATTTTTGTAATAAATATTGAATTTATAAAATAAGACATAAAAGTTGATATAAACAGACTTCTTTTTACTTTAAATCTTACCCAGGTAAACACAGCATTCAATAAATACTTATCGAATGCCTACAATGTACCCCAGGAGCTGTGCTATTAACTGTGGATCCAAAAAGAGAGAAGACAGAGTCCGTCCCTGCTGTCAAGGGGCTTATAGTATGATTATGATTTTAGCCGAAGCTACAAATGCAGACAAAATTATGACTGACCACAAGTCAGGACATCATAAGAACAAGATTTTAGGAGGTGGAGTTTTTTAAATTAAACCTGCCCCAATAGCCTTTCACAATTTGAACAGCAACTCCCTGCCTCATGAGGGATTCCACCAGGGACAGAGGTGGAGCAATCGCACCATCGCACGGCTCTGTCATTCTAAGCTTGCTTGTTCCACAGCAGGAGTCAGTCTTTGTGTCTAATGTGATGACCACTTATAAATGGGACAGTCTGGGTGCAGATTTAAGAACTGGATAGCGCCTCCATCCAACAGCTTCCCCTGCCCACAGTGGGGAAAGGCCACATCCTCTGCAGACGAATACGAATTTTTACTCCATCACCTAGACCCATATTCTAGTACATAGCACTAACCTATCTGGCATACCCAGCCTTCGTTTCATTAGAAAACTTCAAGTAGTAGAAAAATAAACTGTGGGGTTACTGTGAGAATGCAAATAGAACAGGAGGGCACAAAAGGAATTCCCCCCAAAATAAAACACGCACCGAAAAGCCACTGTGGGAGTTTGTGTTGTTCGTGGTAACTCCTCATGCCTCCCTGCATTCCTCCCTCGATTTTTTTGTAAATCCTCCCACAGGAGATTGCCTGACTCTGGGTTCAGCCACGTGACTCGCTTTGGCCACGAATGAGGGGGAAGTGATGGTATATATGGATCCTCCCATCTTTCTGCTTCTCTTAGGCTTCTGCCTGCACCGTGGGAAGAAATGCCCAGGCTAGCCGGCCGGGGAGAAGATACCCCGGGGGAGCCGCTCAGCTGGGCCCAGCGGGGATCAGCCAATTCCCGTGTGGCTTCCAGATACATGAGCTTCTCAAATGCTCGTGGTTGCATGCCACCGAGATACTGTCATTGGTTGCTACAAAGCATATAGTAGCAATAGCTAACCGGTACAGCAAAGGCAGGATTATTTTTAAAATAGAACGCATTAGGCAGTTTCCCCCAACTCTGTTATTTATCTTGTAATGCAAAAAATTGCAGCATAATTCTATACAAATGGAATGAACATCTCAGGGTAGGACCTAAAGCTAACAACAGACCTACTCTCAGTTATGAGATTAAGTGAACCCAAATGAAGAAATATATTCCCAAGATAAAATGCTTAAATTTATGCCTCTTCCTTACCTTTTAGCTTATTGACTTCAATCTTAAGTGCTTTCAATTTCTGCTTATAATCTTGTTTTTCTTTCACAATACAGGTCTCCACCATCTTAGCATCGCGTAAGGCATGCTCTAACAATTTAAATTTACCCGAACAGTCAGCAATGTGATTGACTGCCTCGATAATATCTTTGTCCTACAAACCAAATTTGAAAAGTGTTACATAAGATTTTAAAATTCCAACTAAACAATAAGAAAACACTACACTTATTAAGATCTCATTGTGGGAGAGGGATTGGGACATTGGGATTGGCATATACAAACTACTATATATAAAATAGAGAATGAGTAAGAGCCTGCTATAGCACAGGAACTCTACTCAATACTCTGTAATGACCTATATGGGAAAAGAATCGAAAAACGAAGAGTGGATATATGTATACGTATAACTGATTCATTTTCCTGCGTACCTGAAACTAACACAACATTGTAAGTCAACTATACCCCAAAAAGAATAAAAAAAAAAAAAAGATCTCGTGTACCCGGTTTCATTCCAAGCACTTTCCATGTGTTACCCCATTTAATCCTCACGGTAACTCTCTGAGGTAGGGACTATTGTTACTCCCCACGTGACAGAGGACTCGACAGTAAAGTGGCCACAGTTATACAACTGGTTAGTGATGGAGTTCCGATTTGAACTTAGCCGGCTGCCCCTGAAACCATGCACGAACCACCATAGTTTATTGTCTCAGGAAGTTTAGAAGCAAACATTTGATTACGTGTGAAATTGTAATAGCAATAGGAAGGCTGGTGGCCCTTGAGGGGGCTTATTCTCTGCATTACAGATAAATCCCATAGGCCCTCTCTTCCTCCCCTTCTTTTCAGCTTGCTAAAATGACAGACGCCAAGACCTTATCCCAAACCTACCCAATTCAGAACCTCTTATTGTTGAGGTGGTTGTTTTAATTACATAAAAGGTATCTATGTGCTTGTTGAAAAGCAATTCAAATAACACCTGAAAGTATAAAAATAATAAGCAAAAGTACTCCCCCACCACTCATGTGGAGTAACTATTACTAGCAGGTTTTACCTTTGCTTAAGGACAAAGGTTTCAGCGATAGCATCCTATACGCGTTCCTAAAACACTTCACAGTCTGCACATCTCACGTTAGGACTTAAGGGGAAAACAGGGTTTGGGCAGACCATTCAAAAACCGATGGAAAAAAACAACAACAACAAAAAAAACGATGGAACTCTGTGATCAGACCAGTAGCAAAGAAACAGTAGTCCTGTTAAGTACAAGAACACAGCATAGCAAATGCCACTGCAGACGCATCAGTCAGGCAATCCTTTTCAGCTTCACCAGGAGTTTGCTATGATGGACACTGTAGGGGTTGCTGAAGCCAGGAAACTGGTCACTACTTGATTAAAGACAATTCTATAGATTTTAATATTTTCTTTTTAATTTTATGAAAGCTTGTCCCTGATCACTCAAAAACATTTATGTGCTGGAAAAAATCACATATGAATTAGCATGAGCGTCCCATTATACCAGAATCACTCCTCTAGTCAACTTCTGTCCAACACATGTGTTACCACATAGAAGAGACTTTTTCAATCACTGTTTATGGCATGTTAGTGACTACATCAACTACTTGACTGCTAAGTTTTCTCCTCAATTAGAAACATATTAACGGGCTTCCCTGGTGGCGCAGTGGTTAGGGATCCACCTGCCAACTCAGGGGACAGAGGTTCGAGTCCTGGTCCGGGAAGATCCCACATGCTGCAGAGCAACTAAGCCTGTACACCACAACTACTGAGCCCGCACACTAGAGCCTGCGAGCCACAACTACTGAGCCCGCATGCTGCAACTACTGAAGCCTGCGCACCTAGAGCCCGTGCTCTGCAACGAGAGAAGCCACTGCAGTGAGAAACCTGTGCACCACAACGAAGAGCAGCCCCCGCTTGCCCCAACTAGAGAAAGCCCGTGTGCAGCAACGAAGACCCAACGCAGCCAAAAATAAATTAATTAAGAAAAAAAAACATATTAATAAGCAATTTGATAGCTAATGACTTTATGAGACCCAGTAATGGGTACCTCAGAAGAAACCAGCTGAATGCAGGCATGCTGGACCATGGAATGGGCCTTGGAGACAGAGACCCACAGTGCAGTCCTGCCTCCACTCAGTGCCTTGGGGGCATCATTTGAAACTTGTTTCCCTCATTTCTAAAACCAGAATTTAAAAAAAGAGAGCAACATGGATGGCTCAACCTATCTGAGTCGCTGTGGGACTTCAGTAACTTAATGTACATTGCTGCACTCTATCAACTACAAAGTGCCTGGCAAGTGAAAGCATCGTGATTCTGAATTACCTTCAACTTCAGCATGGTGGTGAGAGTCTGTTCTCGAGCTTGCAGTTGTCCCACTTGAGCAGAAAGTCCCACTAATGTGTTGCTGAGATTTTCGTTTCTAGCCTACGAGGGACAACACAAAATACTAATTGAGTCATTGAAAAGCTTTCATTACTCTCACCAGCCACAATCTGTGCCCATCCTTCTGTTTTGTTTTGTCTCTGTTTAGCTTTTTTAGTAACAAAGTGGGCTAAGTAAGCAGTCATCAAAAAGGAACACAAATATCTGTTTCCCCATTATCCCCAGCATCTTCTCAGTACTTGAGTTCTGCCCCACTGAATTCTATCAGTTATGTTTATAAACATGTCTAGTTCCTAATGGTCTTTAATGACTGCTTCCAGGTTGGCAAGAATGAAAATTGGATTAGCAAGAGACTTCCTTTGCTGAAATAAAGTAGCATTAATGAACTTTTGTGCATCTTTACTCTATGTTGAAATAACTTCATATTGGGGTATTCCCACTTTTCAGGGTTTATTTTTCTTTTTTTACCCAGAGATCTAGATTTGATATAATTATTGTGTACATAACGTGTTTACTGGTTGGGGAAGAAAAGAATAATCAGGCTTTTTAAAAGAGATCTTCATGGAGGAAACTTAAGTGCCATGTTACTAAGTGAAAGAAGCCAATCTGAAAAGGCTACATATTGTATGATTCCAACTCTATGACATTCTGGAAAAGGCAAAACTCTGGAGACAGTAAAGAGATCAATGGTTGCCAGGGGTTGTGGCAGAGAAGGGGGGGCAGAGCAGAGAGGGTTTTTAGGGCAGTGAAACTCCTTCTGTATCACATGACAATGGTGGATGCAGGTCATTATTTGTCAAAACCCACAGAACGCACAACACCAAGAGTGAACCCTAATGTAAACTATGGACTTTGGGTGGCAATGATGTGTCAGTGTAGATTCACTGATTGCAACAAATGTACTACTGTGATGCAGCAATGTCCACAGTGGAGGAGGCTGGCTGGGGGAGAGGGCAGGGTCTATGAGAAATCTGTACATTCCACCCAATTTTGCTATGCACCTAAAACTGCTCTAAAAAATAAAGTTTATTAATTAAAAAAAAAATCTTCCTGCTATGGACTGAATTGCACCCCCTGCCCAAATGCACAAGTGGAAGCCCTATGAAGCCCTAACCTCTAATGTGATGGTGTTTGGGGGTGGAGCCTTTGAGAAGTAATTAGGTTTAGATGAGGTCAGGAGAGTGGGGCCCTCATGATGGCATCCGTGTCCTCATAAGAAAAGACACCAGAGAGCTTGCTCATGTACTGTCTCTCTCCCTGCCACATGAGGACACAGTAAGAAGGTGACCATTTACAAGCCAAGAAGAGAGCCCTCACCAGAAACTAACTAGGTCGGCACCTTGATCTTGGACTTTTAACCTACAGAACTGTGAGGAAAGAAATTTCTGCCCAGTCTATGGTTAGTCAGCCCAAGCTGACTAACACGCTTCCATTTTTTAATTCAACATATCAAGAGATTCCAGAATAGTTTTCACTTATTTTATAGCTAGAAACTGTCTAGAAGAGTAATCTGAAAAAAAATTTTAGACATAAAATCTATACAATTATTATGAGTTATTAAGACTCACTATATTACCAAGATCTATACTGATATCATTATGAAACAAGAATATGAAGGCTATAAGAACAAAAAGGCTTTCTCACTGTGTCTCTCAAAAAGCATGAGCTCAAAAGATATCTGATGACTCACCAGCTAGAAATGAAAACTGAAAAATCACTCTTACAGATTTTATTCCCAATATGCCACTAACGTGATATAGATATTACACACAGTTATTCAAAAAGCATAATTTGAAGCTACCTGATGATATGGATCTCAGAATCTGAGAAAGCCTTTCTAAAATAACCCATTGTTGATAAAATGATAGATGCTACCAAACAGATGGCTTAACAGTTAGAAAAGGGCTGTAATGAAGCTTCATCTCCAAGACAAGATAGCACTGGCAGCTAACCAAAGCCCCACAATGAACACAAAACTATGATGATGGATGGATGGATGTACTTTCATACACACGCACATGCATTTTTAATGGAAATATTTAAATCTAATTTTTCAATAACTGAAACACAAACAGAATTTGGGCTAGGGAAGCTTATCTTAAAACCAACCTCAAGGGCTTCCCTGGTGGCGCAGTGGTTGAGAGTCCGCCTGCCGATGCAGGGGACACGGGGTTGTGCCCCGGTCCGGGAAGATCCCACATGCCGCGGAGCGGCTGGGCCCGTGAGCCATGGCCGCTGAGTCTGCGCATCCGGAGCCTGCGCTCCGCAGCGGGAGGGGCCGCGATGGTGAGAGGCCCGCGTACAGCAAAAAAACAAAACAAAACAAAAAACAAAACAAAAACCAACCTCGAGGTCCTCAGAAAGGAGAGTGGAATGGGTTGCCTTTTGGGCCATTTCTTGAAGCTGTAGCTGAGTCTTTTGAAGAGTACTTTGGCATTCAATTTGATTCGATTCAAGGGTTTTTACCTTCTTTGTGAGTGATCTGATTATTTCAGTTCTTTTATGTAGTTCACCTGAGGGAGATTTCATCAATAACTTACTTGTGGTCAGATATGAAGCTGAAAACGCACTGTTTTCAAAACACATGGTTAAAGGTTCATACTTCTTTTAAAAGTTTTTATTATGAAATGCATGATATTGTACCTCAGTCAAGAAACAGAACACCAGCAGCAAGCCAGAAGGCCCTGTACGTCACTTCCTGAGCACAATCTCTCCAATTTCCCACCTTCCTAACCACCATCCTGATCTTACTCATTTCCTTGTTTTTTATTATAGTTTTACTATCTATGACCACATCTCTAAGAATAGTTTAATTTGAACCACATATAAATGGAATTATACTCTATGAATTCTTCTGTTTGCTCTTTTTGCTGAAGATTATGATCCTGGGAATTCCCTGGCAGCCCAGTGGTTAGGACTCCACGGTTTCACTGCCAAGGGCCTGGGTTCGATCCCTGCTTGGGAAACTAAGATCCCACAAGCTGCCTGGCACAGACGAAAAAAAAAAGATTATGATCCTCAGATGTATCCATGTGGCTGTAGGTAACTCCTGTTTGTGCACTGTCATTGCTGTATAATGTCATTATATGATCATGCCACAATGTGTTTATACATTCTAGTACTGGTGGTCATTTGGACGGTTTCCACTTTGCAGCTATGATGTACAATGCTACTTTAAATATTCTCCTACAAGCATCTTGGTGCTTTTGCAGGAGTTCCTCTAGAAACTCGATACTCAAAATGTGGCCCTTGGACCACACGGGGGACCTTGTTAGATACACAGACCTACCGTATCACAATCTACATATTAACAAGATCCTTAGGTAATTCATGTGCATATTGAAGGGTGAGTAGATTTCCTAGAAGTGGAAATGCTGGGCCATAGCTATGTATATCTTCAACTTTACCAGAACTGTCAAATGATTTTCCAAAGTAGCTGTACCAGCTGACACACCCACCAGCAGTGAATGAGCCTTCCCTTGCTCTACACTTTTACCAATACCTGATATTTTTTGCCAGTCTGGTAGGTATAAAAAGGTCTCATTATGGTCTTAATTTGCATTTCCCTAATTACTAATGAGAATGAGAACTTTTTAATACATTTATTGGCCATTCAGTGTTCCATGAAATGCCTATTCAGGTGTCTTGCTCATTTTAAAACCAAATACTGGGCTTTCCTGGTGGCGCAGTGGTTGAGAGTCCACCTGCCGACGCAGGGGACACGGGTTCGTGCCCCAGTCCGGGAGGATCCCACATGCCGCGGAGCGGCTGGGTCCGTGAGCCATGGCCACTGAGCCTGCGCGTCTGGAGCCTGTGCTCCACAACGGGAGAGGCCACAACGGTGAGAGGCCCGCGTATCGCAAAATAAATAAAAAAAATAATAATAATAACTTATTGCTAAGAAATGCTAACCATCATCTGAGCCTTCAACATCAAAGATTACTGATCACACATGACCATAACAAATATAATTATAATGAAAAAGTTTGAAATATTATGAGCATTACCAAAATATGACACAGGGACACAAAGTGAGCAAACGGTGTTGGAAAAATGGTGCTGATAGACTTGCTCAGTACAGGGTTGCCACAAACCTTCAATTTCTAAAAATCATAGTATCTGCAAAGTGCAATAAAATGAGGTATGCTTGTATATAATGTTACCTTTTTCTTTAATATGTTTACATAAAAGATATTAATTATATAAGATATACTGCATCTAACGTACAATTCTATTAAATACTGCCTTTATGTGTATCTACACGTGGGTGGGTGTGGTCAGAATAAAATCAGATGGTCGTCAACGAAAGGGAAAAATTACTCAGATTGTCGCATTTACAGAATCCTTTGTGTAATATGAGTAAAAAAGAAGGCGACATATTGTCTTTCTATTAAACAGATGTAGTGTTTTCCCCTCTAGCACATTCTAGTATTAATGCAGTGTCAATAGAACATTCAGACTTTAGGGCAGCATGAAAGGGATGATAGTTACATATGGTACAAAAGGAAATTTTTGTAAGCCAGTTTTGAGATCGCTCTGATTTTAAAAGATGACTATTTTAGGTATTTGAGATCAAGTTCAATACCAAGTTTAAAATCTTTGAGTCAGTTCAAGAGAAATGGCCAGTTCCGTGGCATCTTCATTCATACTTTAGCTCAAAACTAATTTCCTTCAGGTTCACTCCTGACACTCTATGTTGACTGAAGCTGCCCAGCCCCCTTTCTACAGCTAAGTACTTCGCTTGCCCTACTTTAATTCACATTGTTCTGTTGTGAGTGTTCATGATGTCGTCCTATCTTCAATTAAAATAAACTCCAGGGACTTCCCTAGTGGCGCAGTGGTTAAGAATCCGCCTGCCAATGCAGGGGACACGGGTTCGAGCCCGGGTCCGGGAAGATCCAACATGTCGAGGAGCAACTAAGCCCGTGTGCCACAACTACTGAGCCTGCGCTCTAGAGCCCATGAGCCACAACTCCTGAAGCCCATGCGCCTAGAGCCCGTGCTCCACAACAAGAGAAGCCACCGCAATGAGAAGCCGGCACACGGCAACCAAGAGTAGCCCCCGCTCGCCACAACTAGAGAAAGCCTGCACGCAGCAACAAAGACCCAACTCAGCCAAAAATAAATAAATAAATAAATAAAATAAACTCCAGTACAGCAGGGATTGTGTTGAGAGGTTCCTATCTTTCCCTTGAGCCCTTTTAACGTGTTGGCATGTACAAGTGCATGACGGATGCTGCTGCGTATATGTCTGACCTTCTAATTTGCTGCAACGTTCTTCCAAAGTCAACACTTTCTGCCGATCCTCTTCCCATGAAAGAAGTTGTCTTTGATGTACTGCAACCATATCATTGAGCTCTCTATCTCGATCTTTTAATTCTCCAATGAGCAGCTGTAGCTCTCTCCGTTGTTTCTCGATAGTGGAAATCTCAACTTCTGACCCAATGTTCTAAACATAGAAAGTGGCTTCACGTCAGGATAATCAACATAAATTGGCCAAAGCATATTTTCCAAACAATTATATCTTCTTTTGCTGCCAATTCAAGGTAGTTAAATTACGTTTTATTCACTTTTGCTGCCAATTCAAGGTAGTTAAATTACGTTTTATTCACTGATTATAACATGACGTCAAAATTATGTATATTTAAAGCAAGTTCACACCTACTGTACTCTGCCTCTATCACTTTCTGTCGTACCATTTACACCACTCTTAAAGAGTGGGACCATTTGTAACACCTCCACTGGTTAATCACAAATAAACCCATTTCTGCATTTTTTTTCTTTGCTGTCAACCCTCTCCTTGTATCAATCAACAATATTATCCCTCAGCTTGCCCCAGAAATTCTACCACAGTCAAGTAAAGGGAAACAGGAAGTAATTACTGTTTAAATGTAACTGACCCAAACTCAACATACCTACTTAAAAACAAATTTTGTAAAGGAAAAATTTCAAATATACACAGAAGACAAGAGAATAGTACAATAGACTCCCATTTGCTCAGTACCTAGGTCTTTCTTACCACTGTCAAGATTTTGCCACATCTGTTTCAATTTTCCTTTTTCTTTTTGTTGTTGATAAAAAATACTTTTTACTCTTAGATACTTTAGTATGCATCTCTAAAAATGAACGTTTTTTTTTTTTTTTGCAGTATGCGGGCCTCTCACTGTTGTGGCCTCTCCCGTCACGGAGCACAGGCTCCGGATGCGCAGGCTCAGCGGCCATGGCTCACGGGCCCAGCCGCTCCGCGGCATGTGGGATCTTCCCGGCCCGGGGCACGAACCCGCGTCCCCTGCATCGGCAGGCGGACTCTCAACCACCGCGCCACCAGGGAAGCCCAAAATGAACGTTTTTATATAACCATGATGCCATTTTCATGTCTAACAAAATTATCTATGATAACTCCTTTTAAGCATACATCATTTTAAAGTCTAGTGCAGTGAAGCTGGTGTGACCTAAATTGGAATCCAGAATTAGCCACTTAGTGGCTCTAAGACCTTGGGTAAGTTACTTAATGTCCTTAAGCCTTAATTTCCTTGTCTGTAAAATGGTAATAGCAGCATTTTAACTTCTTAGAGTTGTGTGGATTAAGCAAGATAATCTCTGTAAAGCACTTCACAGTACTTGGCACCATTGTAAGTGTCATTAAAAATTAATCAATAGTCAAGCTAAGAAAAAAGTGGAAAATTTTATTTGAGCCAAGCTGACGATTATAACCTGGGAGACAGTCTTTCAGAAAGCTCTGAGAACTGTTCTGCCTGTAAGAGGTCAAAACACAGTTACAAACACTTTCAGGACAAAGGGCTATACATCAAAATAATATATTGACCTTTACACAATGCAGATCTGCGCATACAAGGCAAGTAGTGGGTCGTAGTGACCCCTTACAGGATTGAGAAAGGAATGTTATCTCCTAAGGAGTTCCTTGCTGGCACCGGGAGAAAATAGCCTTTTTTTTTTTTTTTTTTTTTTTTTTTTTGT